GCAAATGCCCTGGAAAAAGAGCAATCCATCCCGCAGCCTTCGCCACCTTCTCTTCCGCCTTTTTGCTATCCTCGCTCATCATGGTCACTACCTATGGCCAGATTATGAGCTCTTGGTACCCAAGGACGCTACTAGGGGCTCCTGGCATCGCTACTAGTAACAAGAAGCTACTAGGGCTCCTGGCCGTACTACTAGGAGCAAGGACGCTACTAGGGGCTCCTGGCCGCTACTAGGGGCTCCTGGCCGCTACTAGGGGCTCCTTCCAATGGCAACAGCAAAGCTACCGAAAGCTGCACCTACATGCCAATGGGCAACGTGTGCTACGTGTTCCCTTAGACGAAGGACTAGTGCAACATTGATATCCCAACACCCCACCCCGCATCAAATCGCTTCATGAACATCTTGCAACATTGCAACTAGTGCGATGACTGTGCGTTGCCTCTTTAAGACTTGCGATGGCATCCTCGAAGCCTTCGTCGCCAAATGGGGGTGCCTTTGGATCTCACATTCAGACGCTCCACATTGCGACACAGAAACAGGACAAAAAGACTAAGGGGAGGGAGAAAATAAACGTATATCGGAATCAAAACATCCACTGCCAGGAATAATTCCATCTCTCTCCGTGTCGCTTAGTTGGAAGATATCCAGATTTTAAAGCAGAACGTTCATCTGTAGCATTGTAAGCAAGACTTTCTTGATCCGCTTTTGGCATGCCTCTGGCACAAGCTCAGCAAGAACCTGACCCAAAACCCCACACCACTCCACATGCTTTGTTTCACACTCATGACACACATGCTCAAATCATGCCACTCTCGTGTGTCACACATGAGGGAGACCTGTTGCAGCTTTTGCCCTAGAATCCAATCACCGACATTCATGTTCCTAGAAGCGTCCTTGCTCCGACCCCCCCCCGCTTCATTGGTACTAGTAGCATTCTTGCTCCTAGTAGCGATGCCAGGAGCCCCTAGTAGCTTCTTGTTACTACTAGTAAGGCACTTGTTACTACAAGCGAGGCACTTGTTACTACAAGCGAGGATTCTAATTACTTTTAATTAATTTTACTATTGTTTCTACTAGCTTCTTGTTCCTAGTAGTAAGGCACTTGTTACTAGTAGCGATGCACTTGTTCCTAGTAGCTTATTGTTTCTAATAGCAAACATTGCTCCTAGTAGTACGGCCAGGAGCCCCTAGTAGCGATGCCATGGCCTTCTGCAAATCTGCCAGTGGAGCATCGAAGCTTCCCAGGTCCTGTCTTCAGCATGACACTTCTTTCCAAAAGGAAGAAAGACATTCGCTTGTAGAAAAAGATCGGACAATTGAAACAAAAAGAAAGAACGCTCAATTGATTTGGCAAGGACGCTACTAGGGGCTCCTGGCCTTACTACTAGGAGCAAGGACGCTACTAGGAGCAAAGGGCATCGCTACTAGGAGCAAAAATGGGTCTGAAGGAGATGCTTTTGCAGATGACATGTGCCTCTCCACGTCTCCACCCTTACCGAGATTCGCACCTCGAGTGGAACTTCCTGGCTTCGTGGGGCCGTTAGACTAGAGACAACTCGTTCTTGCAGAACACGCAGAACATCTGCAAACGTTCTTCTTATCCTGATTTTGAAGCCGTTCTTTTTGGAAGAAACGACATTTCACACATCAGTTAAGTCCCGGGTACTCCTCCGACTCAAAGATTGGTGTCCTGGCCTCTTCAGAAGCCGCCTTCAACACTTTGAGCCTCAAGATGACAAATACTGGCCAACTCGCCCAGATTTAGATGAACTACGATCATCACGACAAAGGATTTGCACAAATCAACCAGGGCGCCTTGGTCATCCAACACAATAATTTTTCAGCGTTTCTGCTGGCGAAGCTGGGATTTCAATGACCAGATCAAAGCCTCAGGTATAGAATGTCCTACTGTACCCGCATTAGCAAATCAAATAGCTCTTCTGTTTAAGGAATGGACGTTTGTACCTTCTATTGCTAGAAAAAACTTTTGTGTTTCTTACTGGTTCTTCCTGTTTGTCTTTCCTTCCATCCTTTATTTTTTCTCTAGACCTTTCTTCCTTACTACTCCTATGTACTCCTTACGTTTGTACAGAACAGTTTGCTTTGTTTTTTGCGGATCATTGGTGGCATTCTTTGTGCCCAAGACGCTGAGTCTTGCCCAACACGCCGTCCAAACGCACTCCTTTCGTCCAGTGCACCAGGCTGCCGGGCGCATCCACCAAGTCGGCAATTGGCACATCGAAATGAGCCAACTCATCTGGCATACACCATTGGCCAATGCTACTATGCAAGAACACTTCTTCAAGGACAACAAAAACAACAATGAAGACACTTTTTGAAAACCCAGGGCGGCGGCAGACCGGATCCCGCTTTTGACCTTGACGCTGCAGCCACATTATGGCGCCACTTTCCTAGTACTGCGACGTTACATTCCCTGACGCCACATTCCCCCCTCACGCCGCATTACCCCCTGACGCCGCATTCTGGCGCCGCATTCCCTGACGCCACATTACCCCCTGACGCCGCATTCTTCCCTGACGCCACATTCCTCCCCTGACGCCACATTACTCCCTGACGCCACATTTGACGCCACATTCCCTGACGCCGCATCCCCCCCCTGACGCCGCATTCCCCCCTGACACCGCATTCTGGCGCCGCATTCCCTGGCCACATTGTGGCGCCACATTCCCTGACGCCGCATTTGCCCGTGACGCCACATTACTCCCTGACGCCGCATTCTGGCGCCGCATTCCCTGACGCCACATGGCCCCTTTGACGCCGCATTACCCCCTGACGCCACATTGTGACGCCGCATTCCCTGACGTGACAGGACCCCGTCTGATGCTCCAAACTGCACGAAACGGTTCTTCGTAGCAGGGGCCGTTTTGACACTGTTGAAGCAGCAGGCAACCCCAACACATGTCCAAGATATGGCAGAACACACAGCGCAACAATTGGACATTGTGTTGTATTAAAAGGTAAGAAGCCCCCGTACCGCGCACGGTATGATATCAAAAATCCGGCGATCGGTCCCAATCCCGAACCCCAAATCCATGGGGGAAAAAAGATGGAAAAAGGATCACTTAGGACATCCCTGCGGACGAACTCCCAGTCCCTGCGGTCAACTTCCACCCTCGGAAGACCCTCAGAGTACCGACTGGCATCCATGGCATCCATGGCATCTCCAGATCTCCTCCTCTTCGCTATCCATGCCGACCAATGGCTTAGCTCACAGCTGTGAGCCCAAGAAGCAATGGCCATGATGATCATGACGGGATGTGCAAATCTTCGGGTAACTACTATAGCCTATAGCCATAAACAACGGCTGCTGTGGAACGCAGACCATAAACATGCTACCTCCACGTACATGGCAGCACATGAAGCGGCAATCAAAGATTTCTGCTGCTATAAACTGCATCTTCAGCCATCGGCACATATCTGCTCAATCCGATCCAACATTGCCATCAGAATTCGTCTCCGGAAAGCGTCTTCGGGGTCTAATTCGTCTTCGGGGTCTAATTCGTCTTCGGGGTCTAATTCGTCTTCGGAGAATTCGTCTGCGGAAAGCGTCTTCGGGGTCTA